TTCGGCTTCTGCCGATTACGTACATAGCAACGTGTTTGTTGCGAAACATAAATTGCTTGTAAACGTTGATCATGCCTGGTCAGGTGTGTCTCGGAAATTCGAGAATATACTATTTATTTATTTATTTAGTGACTCCACCTTTGATGGCGAGCGCAACGAACAAAAACACACACAGAGTCACATTTAGTTACTCACATTACGTGGTCCCCTCCAAATACTCAGTTAAGCATACTTTTACATGTCAACACACACATAAATTCCTATGCCATTTGTCGATATGCACTAATTTGTGCAATTGCCGATCATACATATCTGTATTATTATGATCATTCCCTTGATGGTGTGCCACGCAATGACGAGAATAAACTATTTATTTGTTTATTAATTTATTGTTCACCGCGATCACTGGGAACGTATCCGGAGCAGATGGAAATTAAGGGTTGCCCACCCGAAGCCACTGCACAACCGTGAGGCATCTCGATGTAATTTCCTCACAGCAAGTAGTGATAGCAGGCATCTACTCCACGACCATTGGAATTGTGGTCGAAAAATCTACCCCCTTGGCTACCGTGTCACGGCGGGCAACACTTGGTACAACGGTAAATGACTAATTGGAGGGTCTGTTTTGACCTACGTTTGGTGTGATAAGATTGCGAAGCGCAATCTTAATAGGGTCAGCCGGCTGCTGGTACATAAAGTTGCGTGCTGAACGGTCTTAAATATGGTGTTAACGTCGTATGGCCTGGAACAGGAGGTTGAGTTGTTGGATTAACGCCATCAACTTTTCTGTTTGACTTCGTGGCGACCGATGGTGTCAAAACCTGGGATCCTTTAGTCCTTGGCATCCGTTAATCACCGCACCAACGTCACCTACGCTCCGGTTGCGGAAGCTTCAAGGCATTGGGGAATGGTTGCGTCTAGCGAAAGCAGTGCCCATTATTCAGGTTGGTTAAAATGTTCACCATTGTTTTACTTACACATGACCACATTTAGGATAGCAGTCTTGTGCTCATAACTAGGTTTAAACTATCCTGCCCAGATGCTCAATTGTAATCTATCTGGCATTCGTCGTTTGCTCCTGTAGCATAAAAGCTTTTAGTGTCCCAGAAGGAAGATGTCCACGACCAAAATGACGGACCAGTAATTGTTAAGGAAAACACGGGCGAAACTGCCGTGCTGCAACGGAGTATCGTGGTACCCACGTAACACGGCGGTGTTCCTCGGGTGCACCAATGCCTAAGTTGAACACACTTTGCTGCTGTGACGTGCGTTGCTTCGCGGGGTATAGGCGACTATATTTGTTCGCGGTGGCTCAAGCGTCGGCAGTGTTGTGGTGCATTGACACCAGTAGTTTGTTTGCCGGGATAAATAAGTTAAGGTTGACGCCATAAAGACACTGCAGAGGATTATGATGGAAGCTGATCAGTACCCGCTCAAACACTTACACAAGCAGCTCGAATGTCAATGGCATTCAGCGTGACCGTGTTCAAAAGTGGCCAGCAAGGTCGCGAGGTAAAGTGGAATGCTTAACCTACTCAACCATTGTCTTAGCATATGCAGACACTACAACTAATGGAAAAGCCATCTGCACGTATTAATTCATTGCAATAACAAAGAGTACTTACGTCATTAATTGGTACTGCGACTAGGCTACTGAAGTTAAGGTACGGCTTGAGGTTCTAGCATCTGGAATCACACTTGTATAGCAATACCACTTAGGCGAATGTATTTTCCCTAGTAAATGTGGGCGCTGCATCCGCTCAACGTGAAGACATTCGCAGCGATACCCGGTACCATTTGCTTCCAAATAGCATTTTACCATAAACATCACTTTCGGTGCTTGGAGGCTTACCTACATTTCCTTGCTTGTCCATACACTGCTCTTATGGAAGATGGTTCATTCAGTAGGTGCATTAGCCCGAAAAAGGATAAAGAAATAAAGAAATAAATATTTTGTTCTCAACAAAGCGAGGCATGCCTTTTGGGAATGATCAGCATAAATGCAATATTATACATGGTAGTATGATTAGAAGCACCGACAGCGGGTGTAGTACACATAGAGTCAGTAGTGCAGGCCCATACGACCCAAAGGTTGAACAAAGTCTATTCCACAGAATGCGAGAAGTAGAGATAAGAAATCAGATCACAAATGTGGAGTATGTTGATGAGGAGCTAGTCCGATGATGTTGTGTACACACTGCAGGTAAAGTGAGTGAAGCATGAGGAAAGAGCTGCAAGCATATTTAAGGATAGTGGCATATAACTGATCAAATATGTAGGTGTGTTCATACGGGCGCAGATTTATGCACAGCAGTTGTAAACATGATATCGGTCAACCTGCCAACGTGAGATTGGGGCGGTGACTTTATTGAGTGGCTAGTCACGTCCGCCACGCCGAAGTGTTGTTAATCAGACATTTGTGGCTTTTCGAAGGGAAGCCGCTTGTCAGACGAAGACCCACCAGTTCCTGGAACACTGCCGACTGGTGATATGACATTGACAAGATTGCATCTGACCGACTACCCTCGCGGATATTCGCAGTCGTTTCACAACTTGGTTTCTCATCTGAACTGAACTGGTTATGTGGTCTCCTTCGGAGTCGACCGCAAGTGGTTGGAGCTGTCCATGTCGGTTGACTACGGGGACTTGTATTGAGTTGATTCGGTTTGGGGGTTCCTTTAGCTTGTCAACGTTACGACGTGCAGGTGAGTTCTTCGTTCTTTGTTGATGCCCTGTCCAGGTGCGCTTAGCAGGTATGTTCTCAGATTACTGTGCCGGTAATGTTATAGTTTAGAACAAGGAAGAAAAGAAAAACAGACCGAGCAAACTGCCAAGGAAATGGAATAAGACTATGTTAATGTATAAGTATAAAATTCGTGGTAACGTTGTGCTGGTTACAAGCAGTGGAATGACCGAATATGTTATACATCATATCCGTAGTTTTACGTACAAATGCGAGACCTGATATTTGCTGAAGGTGAGAGACAAATGCTGACCAAAGTGACCTAACATACGAAAAATTCTTCCTGTGCGGAACCCGGGGGTATCAGGCGTCAGTAACCGGTAAATGAGTAAAAAACAATCAGAAGAGTATAGTACGTTGTTTAATATGCGCTTAAGGTATAGGTTGAGCGATCGGTTGACAGTGGTAGAGCTTATCCTGTTAACATGTATGACAGCCAGTGGAATTTCTACGCCGGGTTGGAGACCCATGAAAATAACGATGAAACCTTTTCAGTAACCGGATGCTAGAGAAATAGCTGAGTGAAGGATTGGGACGGTGTGCCAAAGTTATGATGAGAATGGGATTTATATACTACAGCTGTAGCGAGAACACGGTAGCAAAACGAGATCTGAGGGACCTGCAAAAGCGGAAAAGACAGCAACTTCTACAGTGCGGCAAACAAGTCAACTATACGGCAGGTAAGGGCGATACTGGAATTCGGCTTAATTATGAGGAAGAACCTTCCCGCTGATAGGCGTTCAACGTTAAAAGCAGGAGCGAGAAAGGCTTGAAGACTACGGCTGTGGCGAGAAAACGGTTGTAGAGCCAGCGCAGAAAGAGACCATTAGTAACAGTAGTGTGGGCAGCAGCCCCAAAAGTAGCTGTGTGCCACTCTAAGGTGGACATCCACCGTGGAAGGTTAAAGTCAGATAGAATGCTGGTTATTGAGTTGCTGGCAGCCCGATTAATTAGTATGCAGGTGCGGCACGATTTATTAGGCTCGGCATCAACTGATAGGTGTACAGTGTTGAACACAAGAGAAAGAACAGACAGAAATAGTTGCAACAAATGTAGAGAGGTGTTGCCGTAAGGACCGGAGCAGACGCCGAAAGAGAGAGAGACGTTAATGGGAGCAAAATAACTTGGTAGTGGAGTCGAGAGGTAAAACTCAATCAGAGGCCGGAAATATCAATTTTTATATGAGGGAACAAGCATACAGATATTGAATCAGACGGAGACAAATAACATGAGGCTACCACTTTTGCCAATGAGTACCTTAGACAATGGCAGCCGATGCGCAAAATAAGCGAAGCATTGGTATGAGGCCTATGGACATTTAGGTCCTCAGAGACCGGACTGGTCCAAAAAGTTTAAGAATAAGACGCACAGCTGAGAAAGGAAGAGAGAGGAGAGGTTAACATCAGCTAAAGCTTGATAGTGAAGCCGAGAGGCAAAACACAATCACAGGTCAGAAATTTCAAATTCGGACTAAGCATCAAGATAAGTAATCAGACGGAAGTAGGTCTGAGGCTTTTGCTTTTACCAATAAGCACGTTGGTCAATAACAGCCGATGCGCAAAATAAGGCATTGGCATGAGGCCAATAAGCATTAAGGGATTCAGAGATTGGACTGCTCAAAAAGGTTTAAGAATGCAAGGCACAAAATCGAAGGGAATCTAGCGAAGATTGGGATTTTGCGCTGGGGCTAGCGACACCAAGACCATTAATGAAGCGTTGCGATATGGACCAAAGGAGAGGCCAAATGAAATCAATAAATAACAAATCACAAGCGCCACAGCGGACTCCGTCTTCCGGCGAACCCGCAGTTACACACACCCCTCGCTCATTGTTACTCGGCACGATTTTGCTTTACGAACCTCGATTCAACAGTCCTAATCGAAATCGAAGGCTTTCTATGTTCAGCCTTCTAAGGGGAGCTTTGTAGCGCCCAAAAAGATAACTCTTATCTTTCATGTACAATTTAATTGTTGACCGATTGTACATTATTCTTTCTTGTTTTAATCGTCCTTACAACCGGCTCGACACTCGACAGCCTTGTAAGTTCCCGCGCTCACGTGTTCGCTCTCTTCTCGCTTCATCCGTCCGCTTCTTATTGTAGCCCATCGAATACAGTCCGCTGTGTCCGACTCCGATTGCCTTCTGATATCCGCGCTTAATTTCGCGCACCGTCTCGGACTAGTATTAACTAGTCCTACAATTGGTGACCCCGATTCGCACGCGCGAATTCAACTTTTTTTCCTCGTTTGTATTTTTTGGTGAGTTCGTTCCTTTTTCTCGATTATATACCTGTATTCATTTGTTTCTTGCGTAATTTTAGTACTTTTATCGTGTTTTTGTTCATCCTTTATCTTTTCGACTCACATTTCGAGAGTGGCATCTGAGTCGTTTCACAGCGTAACCATGCTTACTTTGGCTGTTCCAAGTTTCATGGAACACAGCCCAGAGGTTTGGTTAAGATATTCGAGATCGAACTGGAAAATAAGGGCATTACGGCGGACCGTCCGAGGTACAATCAGCTCGTCCCACGCCTTCCTTCGTCGGTTGTGACGCTGGTTGAGGACATTCTACTCTGCCCATCGAATGAGGCAAAGTATGAAACAATGAAGCAAGCGATTTTAAAAGAGTTACAGCCCAGCGCACGAGCTCGATTTGAACAGCTCAATGGTCTCAAGCTTGGAGATCGCAAGCCGTCGGCGTTGCTCCGCGAACTTCAGCGCATCGCTGGTCCCTTATTCTTGAGCGAAGAAGGGATAAAGGAGCTGTGGTTTGCACGTCTCCCAGAGCCATTGCCGGTATTGCTGTCCATGTTTATAGATACACCCCTGAAAGAATTAGCTACCAAGGCAGACGCTGCGTTCGAACGTTTTCCGCAGCAGACGACCAGTAGCTCCGGTGACGTATTCTCACCGATGAAAACCGAATCCTATATTTGCTCCCAGTCGTCAGACGGATCTGACCCTAAAGACGAGGAAATTGCGCTACTTCGCAGCAGGATAGCAGCACTGAAGGCTTCGAAGCAGCGGGTGCCACGGTCAAATGCTGACCACGTTTTGGCTACCGTTCATTGCGGCTCGTCTGTGCCTGCACCGAGTACGTCTCCTTCGGCACGAAAGCGCAACATTTTCCCTGCACGTTCTCAGTCAGATAATACCGAACCCGTCGAAGAAGTATGTTGGTATCACCGCCAATACGGTGGAAGAGCTAGACGTTGTCGGGCTCCCTGCATTAGGCACGACCCAGCTGCTTCAGGGAAAGCGAATAGCCCGCATACTAGCACGACCAACGTATCCGTCAATAATCAAGCAAATCGCCTGTTTTACGTTAAGGATCGACGTTCTTCCATCACGTTCCTCATCGACACGGGAGCGGAAGTCAGCGTCATCCCAGCGACCGCTAACGACAAGCACTCAGAGCCTACGTACAATTTGCGTGCGGCCAACGGTTCTCCGATAGCTTCATTCGGTCAGCGCATGATGAACCTGGACCTCAATCTTCGCCGAGATTTTCAGTGGGTCTTCATGGTTGCGTCTGTACCCTTCGCAATTATCGGTATCGACTTCCTCCGACATTTTGGTTGCTTGTTGATGCTGGTCGCCACAGACTTTTAGACGACCGTACTAAACTAGGGGTTGAAGGCGTTCTTACGGACGCCCCGATAATCAGTCCCGTTTTTCGAATCGCCGATGTACCGTCAGATTATGCGAACCTACTGTCTGAATATCCGCGACTGGTACGACCAGCTGCAGAGCTTCCGCCAGTCACGACAGAGGTCGCTCATCACATAGTCACGCGTGGTCAGCCAGTTAGCGCACGACCAAGACGGCTTGCTCCTGACAAACTACGGGCAGCACGAGCTGAATTCGACCACATGCTTCAGCTCGGTATCGTCAGACCGTCCAACAGCCCATGGGCGTCGCCTCTGCACATGGTCCCGAAGAAGGTCATGGGGGACTGGCGTCCTTGCGGCGACTATCGAACCTTGAATACGGTTACCACGCCTGATCGCTATCCGATCCCACACATAGTGGATCTCACCGCCAGTCTGGCAGGTAAAAATATCTTCAGCAAAATCGACTTGGTACGCGCATACAACCAAATTCCGGTAGCCGAAGCGGACATCGCTAAAACTGCCGTGACGACTCCATTTGGTTTGTTCGAGTTTCTGCGCATGCCATTTGGCCTAAAGAACGCCGCGCAAACTTTTCAGCGCTTCATCGACCAAGTTTGTCGCGGTTTAGACTTCGCTTACGCGTATCTCGATGACATTTTAATAGCAAGCTCTTCACGAGAAGAGCACATGCGCCACGTACGAACACTTCTTGATCGTTTATCTCAACATGGGGTGACGATCAACGCAGAAAAGTGTTCGTTTGGTGTCGATTCAGTCAACTTCCTCGGCCATCGTATCTTCTCTGCAGGCGTCGTGCCACCGCAGGATAAAATTCAAGCCATCATCGACTACCCAGAGCCTCATTCTTTCAAACAGCTCAGGCGTTTTGATGGGCTTGTCAACTTTTACCGACGGTTCATACCCAACTGCGCCTCGCTGATGCAACCCCTCACGGACCTTCTCCGAGGGAAACTCAAGAAATTCGAATTTCCTACCGCAGCACGCGCTGCTTTTAAGTCGCTGAAAGAGGCTATCGCCAACATAGCTTCTATAGCGCATCACGATCCGGCCGCTTCACTGTCCCTCAGTACTGACGCCTCGGACGTGGCAGTCGGCGCTGTTTTGCAGCAACGAGTAGCCGACACGTGGCAGCCCTTAGCGTTTTTCTCCAAACGCCTACAACCTACCGAATCTCGCTACAGCACGTTCGGTAGAGAACTACTAGCCGTATATCTAGCGATACGTCACTTTCGACACGTCTTAGAAGGCCGCTCCTTTGTCGTCTTCACCGACCACAAACCCCTGACTTACGTGCTCGGCTCGACTACCGACCGATACTCTCCTAGAGAGTCGCGCCACCTTGACTATATCGCTCAGTTTACGACCGATATACGGCATGTCTCAGGTGTGCACAACACCGTCGCCGATGCACTTTCTCGCATCCAAGTTATCTCCGCTGAAGCCGGCACCGTTATCAACTTAACAGCCATGGCCACAGCGCAACTCAACGACCCTGATGTTGATCTACTACGCAGGTCTCCCACATTGAACATACGACCCGTCCCGCTGACATCACCAGACGGCACTATAATCTGCGATTTATCTCTGAGCACTCCAAGCCCAGTCGTCCCACGCGAGTTTCGGCAGACCGTGTCCGACACGTTGCACGGCTTATCTCATCCAGGCTTTCGTGCATCGGTTAAACTTGTAACCGCACGATTTGTTTGGCGCAATGTTAATCGGGACGTCAGTACCCGGGCAGCTGCTTGCTTTCCGTGTCAACGCGCGAAGGTCCACAAACACACGGGCAGCCCATTAGGCACGTTTGCGACGCCAGACGCACGTTTTTATTACATACACGTCGACTTCGTAGGTCCTCTGCTGCCTTCGATAGGCTACGTGCGTCTGCTGACCTGTGTCGATCGATTTATTAGGTGGCCGGAAGCTACTTCCTAACCTAACTGCTCTTCGGAAACGGTATCGGGAGCTTTTCTGGAGCGCTGGGTAGCTCAATACGGCTGTTCCGCCATTGTGACCACAGATCGAAGGTCACATTTCTCGTCAAAATTCGCCACTTTGCTCAAGGATTTAGGCCGTCGCGACGTTCAAACTGCAGCATATCATCCCGCCGCCAACGGCACGGTGGAGCGTTTTCACCGCCAGTTGAAGGCAGCGCAACGTGCGCACACAGATCCTTCATGGTCTGAAACGCTGTCCCTTGTTCTCTTGGGTTTAAGAAACACGGTTAAAACCGATTTCGACGTCCACTAGCGCAGCTTACCTACGGTTGCACGCTGCGGTTGCCCGGACAGCTGGAAGCGCCAGCCCCATGTACTTCCGCTTTGGACTACGGAAGCTACACAGATAGATTGGCTCACCGGATACGTGCGTTACGTCCACCCGCTCCTCAATCCCAGAAAACACCAATGTACATGTCCGTGAAGCTGTCTACCAGTTCACACGTCCTTCTTGGCGCAACCGGTGTTCGACAGCCATTTCAGTCGCCGTACGTTGGACCTTTCAAGGTGTTACGTCGTGCGAGTAAGGCCTACACTATTGATCGCGGTGGTCGACATGAAGTCATCAACGACCGTCCAAAACCTGCGATTATGGAAGAAAACCCCTCGCCTACATCGTCTAGTAGTGCTTTGTGCGACGCCACAGCTCACCGCACCAGCTTACAGCATTCTAGTGCAGTTCAACCAGACAACCATCGCGGTCTACAAGCCGTCCCAACATCTCCAGAACCTAGCCCGTCGCCTCCCACGAATAATCGCCGTGGCCGAAAGGTGCGTAAGATGGTTTGTTTCTCCGATTATGTACAGTGTAAATATTTTCAGATTTTTAGATATTGTATTTATTTGCCACCTTTTTGGTTAATTAACGTTTTAAAAACAAACAAAAATATCAAAAACCTCCGACAAATCTTTTTCATCAAGAACATCAGTCTGAGGCAAACAATTGTTTTCAATGATTCATCTACAGGCCGGTACAATCATATAAGGTTAAATTACAAAGGGATGGATAGTGATTGGTTCGGGGGTTTGTTCTGAACTGACTCGGTCAATGGTTAGACAGCGAATAGTTCGCCGCTGTCTCATGCACACAGATCGATTGAGGGTTACGTAATCACAAGGCCTGACCCGATGTCGGGGTGACGGCTAGGCTGATGGTTGTTCGGCCAGGGCAGGTATAGAGATTGAACAAACTTTTTCTGCGAGCACAGCGGGGGTTGGAATATGCGGATCGCAATGGCCTCTGCAGTGGCGAGCATCCTTAACCGCGTACCTTTCGATTTGCTCATTGGAACCTGATAAATCACAGTAAAAGCATTCGGGAGGTTAACCTGGTGACCAGATTCGAAAAGATGAGACAAGATACCGCTTGTAAGTACTCCGGTGCCCCCGTTCAACAACCATTTAGGGCTATGTTCCTTAATGCGACGTGACAGTTGACGAGCCGTCCGACCAATGTATGTTGCCCCACAAGTGCACTCAAATCGGTAGATAACGTAAGAAGAGGTCAGCTTCGGCAGTCTGTCCTTGTTGCACACAGGAATTAGCTGATTCGTGGCGAAGATGCATCGTAACTCCGCAGCCGGAAAGGTGTTCCTTATCGATTGCGTCAGTTTCCTTGTTAAGAGCTCACTAACTGTATCACCTTTAAAATCAAGGCGGATGAAGAGGGCCTTTTGCGCGACTACGTCCTTAACGACCGGTGTTATTTTGGGCTGCATGTTGCGCTGAATGAATCTTTCTGGATAACCATTTTCACGCAAAGTGTTCTGGATGGATTTCATCTCATCCTCCAGAGCGTCCTCTGAACATATCTTTCTCGCCCTTGAGGTGAGACAATGTACTAAGTTACGCTTGTATTTAAGCGGTACAAAACTACTGAAATTTGTATACTGACCTGTCCACGTCTTCTTTCTGTTTGTCTTCCTTAATATGGAACCGTCAGTTCGTCTACTAAGGTGTACATCCAGAAATGAGAGTTGGCCATCTTGTTCAAGTTCGTAGGTGAACTTAATCGCCGGGTGCGCACCATTAAACTCTGCCAATATATCCTCCAGAGAGATATCTTTATGGGTTATGCAGAAAATGTCATCCATATAACGATAGTAATGGTCGAAACAATCTATAAGTGGCCCCAGTGATTCAGTTTCTAGTTTGGCAAGAAAAATATCTGCCAGCACTGGTCCGAGTGGGGACCCCATTGCGACCCCATCATTCTGCCGATAATATATGCCGTCGAAAAGAAACTGAATGTTGTAGGTGCATCTCAGAAGTAATTCTTTCAGGCTTGGTAAGGGTATAGCTAAATGAATGCTGTTATCATGCACATAGTTGCATAGATATTCTATTGTCTCTAGTAGCGGGACATTCGTGAATAAAGAAGCTACATCAAGTGAGAACATCTTCTTCTCCTTCAGGTTCCCATCTCTAATGTGCTCTACGAATGTAAAACTATCCCGAACACTACGTTTGGCAATTCGTTTTCTTATTGGCTCCAGTAATTCTGCCAACCACTGGGCTGTTGGATGACATGCGGAGTTTGTCATGGACAATATTGGGCGTAGAGGTACACCTTCTTTGTGAACTTTTGGCAGTCCATACATTCGCGGGATAGATGTTCCAACTGGCCTCAGACTTTCAAACTGACTACTAGATATAAAACCGCGGGTACATAGATCTTTCAGGCAATTCGTCAGGTTTTGTTCCGTTTTGGCTGTTTGTTCCTTCTCACCTAGTTTTACACAAAACTTCGTTTCGTCTCGGAGGATCTGGTTTAGTTTCGAGATGTAATCACTTCTATCCATTAGGACTATACCACTTCCCTTATCTGGCTTGCAGATGACTATATCTTTATTGTTTTTTAACTCTCTCAGGGAGTTCAAATGTTTACGAGTAATCAGGCCGCGTTGATTCACCTGGTAGTTTCGATATTGGTAACAGCAATTGACCAACGAGGACTTGAAACCTTCTAGAGCATCGGTTGATAGCGCGACTAAATCTTTCGTTTGTGCTAACAGGTTTTCAAATTGTGTCTCGGTATCTAACTGACGTTCGTTACTTTTAGGATAACAGAATTTCGAACCGAGTGACAAGATTTCAAGTAGTTCAGGCGAGAGCACCAATTTCGAAAAATTGTGAACATACTTTTCTGGATGGTTCGGGAAAGCAGCCTGTGGCTTCATGGGGCTAAGTGATCGAGCCAATGCATCACGTTTCTTCTGCACTCTTCTGTCTACGATCTGTTGAACATAATCCACAAACTGCTGATGTTCCTCTACAGTGAGCGCATCAACACTGGATTGTCTCTGAGCGACGTTGCGTTGAAATTCAGGAATTTTACCACAAATAGTATCACGTTGGTTTAGGGCGTGACGACGGAGAGTTTTAGAGTTGGGCGAAATACGGTTTCGGCGAAGGTATTTCCAAAATGCGGTTGGGTACTCACGAGTATTCATACAATCATTCAGAAACCGAACGTAACTGTTAGCTTCAGCAAGCCGTGTGGAAAACTTTAGGAACTGATTAAGATCCTTCACCACGTGAGGCGGCTTTGTACGTTTTAACAAATGGAACATTCTCAGTGATTCATCAAGAACATCAGTCTGAGGCAAACAATTGTTTTCAATGATTCATCTACAGGCCGGTACAATCATATAAGGTTAAATTACAAAGGGATGGATAGTGATTGGTTCGGGGGTTTGTTCTGAACTGACTCGGTCAATGGTTAGACAGCGAATGGTTCGCCGCTGTCTCATGCACACAGATCGATTGAGGGTTACGTAATCACAAGGCCTGACCCGATGTCGGGGTGACGGCTAGGCTGATGGT